GACACGCGGAGCCGGCGCAGGAAGCCGAGCGGAACGGAGGTGAGCGGAGGTGAGCGGAGCACGCGGCGCCCGGGCACCCACCCACCCGACCCTGCCTGGCCGCTCCTCGACGTGCGCTCCTCCACCCTGCACCCCCAAAGTCTTGCCAACGCGCACCCCACAGGCCGACGCACGCGCCTCTGCGAGTCCCAGGCACGCGCCCCTACAAGACCCATTAGGTCGGTCCTGCCACCTCACACCCCCCGCATCCCGCCGTTGCACCTCCCGCGTCCTCGGCCACGCACACCCCCTGACACTTACACGCGCGTGCACAAACCATGCACCACGGACCCAGGTCCCTGCAGTGCACACGCCAGCAGCCACGAACACCATCCACTACTGTCCCCAACTCAGGCCAGCACCCATCCCAGACGCTGCCACGCCTCAGTACACACCCAGGCGCGCGCGCGCGCGCGCACACACACGCCCAGCACATCCCTGCGATATCTGCACTAACATAGCTCTCCTCACCGTGCCCCCACCATCTCCAACTCCCCATATGCTCATTACAGACACCCCACCCACGTTCCCAGCCCAGAGACATTGCAATCCACCCACCCCTGAACGAAGCCCCAACACTAACCCCCAACACTAACCCACACCCCAGAGGCCGACACTCCCCACTTTCCGAAGCCAGGCCCACTCCCCCCAGGCACACACCTCTAGCATCCCCAGCGCTCACTCTCATACACCCCAACGCGTATGCACACCTGCTGGATTCCTGCTCTCCAGCACCCTGCCCCACCCCCATCGCAAATAGCCCTCAATATCCCCCAGCACATCCCTGAGTCCTTCCCACCACCACCCTCCAACACCTGGCACACGGGCTCTAGAGGCTGCAGCATTTGGTGGCATCTCTGCCAGGCGCCTCTGGCTTGCCTTTGGCAGCAGCGGCTCACCATCCTGAGGGCCCCCCAGGTGCCTCCCTAAATAGACCTCGAGTCTCCTCCGCGACTGACTTGGCCTCTTCCTTAAGAGATAAGGAAGGCACTTGGGATGCAAGGTACCGTACTTAGATGTCGAGGGTGGGGAGATGGGCAGGGGAGAGGAAAGGAGTGGCAGGCACTGACATGGAAGCGGCCCAGCTGGGGCCAAAGGGGCACCAGTTGCCGGCCCGCACGTAATAGGTAGGTTTCCTGAGGGCAGGAGTCGGAGCGCAGTGTGTGTGCCTGTCTGCGTGTGTGGTGGGGGAAGGCCGTGGGTGCAGGCCATGGGTGCACGTGTTCCTGTGCGTGTCTGAGAGGGAGGAGTGTGTGACCCGCAGAGAGAGAAATCAGGAGCAGCACCCTCCTGGGCTCCCTCATGCAACAATTGGTTTCATTCATTCATGCCTTCTTTGTTAACGAGCATTTCTTCCGTGAGCGCCGTGTGCCAGGCCCTTTACTGGGGGCTGGGGCCAGCAAGGGGCCGGGGACACACCCGCTCCTGTCTTGGAGGAACTCCCAGTCCCGCGAGGAGACCGACCAGGAAAAGCAGAAAGCCATCCCCAGCGGAAAGTGGATTTGGTGGAAAAGACACTGGATTTGGCAGAAACGCGGTCGCTGGGAGTTGTGCTCCTGGCCATGTGACCGGGCCGCGACAGCCGAAATCCTGCCACTGGGCCCGGCGGGAACCGTGTATTTCGGGTTGGGGGGATGGAGAGGGAGGCGGGGCACCGCTCTCCGGAGGCCCTGGGGACCAGAGGGCGCACGCGGCGCGCGCGAGGCCTACGGGCAGCAGCGTTGCCGCGGCCTCCAAGGGGC